AATATTTTGCTGATTTATACAAGTCCTTACTTCCTTCTCTCCTTCTTAGGGTTTAGGGTTTAGGGTTTAGGGTTTAACCACCAGGGATTAGGGTTTAGGGTTTACGGATTAGAAGTTAGTGTTTAGGGTTTAGGGTTTAAGGTGTTAGGCTCAGGAGCTAGGGTTTAGGGTTTAGGGTTTAGGGTTTAGGGTTTTTAAATAGAGGGTTATTGTTATTAATGTTACCCCCCTACTGTCGGCCGTGTTATTGTATCGGTGTAGAAAAAAGGGTTTAGGGTTTAGGGTTTAGGGTATAGGGTTTAGCTAGGGTTTGGGGTTTAGGGTTTATTAGAAATAAGGGTTTGTTGATTAGATAATAAAAAGACAAATTGTTTGCATGGTGTGTTGCTCTCCTGATCACCCTTCGCCGCCTCGGGTTCTGCTGCTGCTGCTGCTGCTTATGCTGCTGTTGCTGCTTGTGTTGCTGCTGCTGCTGCTGCTGCTGCTGCGCTGCCGCCTGGTGGGGTTGTGGTGTTGCTGTTGAGGACAGCAGCAGCAGCAAATAATTTTTGTTTTTTTCTTCTTTCTTTGTCTTAGCAACAGAATCTTACTCCTCTCTCCTTATAAGTCCTTATACAACAGCAGCAGCAGCAGCAGCAGCAGCAGCAGCAGCAGTAGTAGTAGAGGTACTAGTATAGTAGTAGTCTCCTCCTAGGGCTCCATCCTCCCTGCTGCTGTCTCCTTTTATTATTCTGCTGCAGCGCAGCAGCTGAGGTGTACGTACACCTCAATTTATATAGGCAACAACAAGCTGCTGCTGCTGCTGCAGCAACTTCAAGTGTATATAAACACTTGCTGCTGCTGCTGCTATTGCTGCTGCTGCTGCTATTGCTGCTGCTGCTATCTGTCCCTCTTGTAACACACTTCTCTGTCTCCTTTTGTTGATCTATTACTGTTTTTGCTCTCCTCTTCCTGCTGCTGCTGCTGCTCTCCTCCTCCTCCTCCTGCTGCTAGCTGCTGCTGCGGTGTCTCCTCACCCCCCTCCCCCCCCTCCCTCCTGTCTTCTCCCTTATTAAGCGGCCTTGAGGGAAATAAAAGGGCCTTCGTTGCTGCAGCTGCTGCTGCCGCTGCAGCTGCTGCAGCTGCTGCAGCAGCAGCTGCCGCAGCAGCGGCAGCAACACTCGCTGAGCTGCCCCTGCTACTACAACAGCAACTGCTGCTAAACCGACATGCCGCCAGCAGCAGTTGCTGCAGGGAGCAGCAGTCGCTGTTTACAGCAGCAGCAGCAGCAGCAAATAGGACAGGTACACTACCTGCAGCAGCAGCAGCAGCAGCAGCAGCAGCAGCAGCTAGAGAGCGACAATGAAGCGCAGTCCTGAAGAGGACCCTTTGGCCTTCCTCGCCAGAAGAAAGAAAAGCAAACCGAAGCCACACGGCAGCAGCAGCAGCAGTAGCAGCAGCAGCAGCAGCAGTAGCAGCAGCAGCAGCAGCAGCAGCAGCAGCAGCAGCCGGGCAGCAGCAAGGGGTGCATACACCCGAAGAGACAGTGTAGCATCTGTCTCCTCTTCTTTATTTACACAGCGAAGACGCAGGAGGCCTAGCGAAGGAGACCCTGCTGACAGCAGCAGCAGCAGCAGCAGCAGCAGCAGCCAAGCGACAGCAGCAGGAGGAGCAGCAGGGCATGGAGACACCCCAAGCAGCAGCCAAGGGTCACGCTTTGATTCTTTTTCTCAAGGGAACACAGATGATTCTGCTGCAGCAGCAGCAGCAGCAGCAGCAGGATACGGGTCGCCTCCTGGATCTGCAACAGCAGCAGCAGCAAATGCTGCAGCAGCAGCAGCAGCAGCAGCAAATGCTTCCTTCTCCTCTAGATCACCAACTATTGCTTTGCCTTCTTTGCCACAAAGAGATCCTTCGCGCTGCTTGCTGCTGTCAGTACAGCTACCAGCCGTAAGCTGCTGCTGCTGCTGCTGTTGCTGCTGCTGCTGTTGCTGCTTCTCTTGCTACTGCTGAGGATGATGGCTGCTACTGCTGCTGTTGGTATTGCTTCTTGAGCGATTGCTGTTTGCTGCTGCTGCTGCTGCTGCTGCAATTAGCAGCAGCAGCAATTAAACTTTCAGAAGTATCTAATTGCTTCTATTGCTGCTGTTGCTGCTGCTGCTGCTGCTGTTGCTGCTGCTGCTGCTGCTGCTGCTGCTGCTGCTGCAGAAGGCGCGTCTATCTCTAGCAGGTCTCGGTGGAGGACTTGCTGCAGACACAGAACTCATTACTGCTCTTGAAGACCTACTCGATGTACGCTGCTGCTGCTGCTGCTGCTGCTGTTGCTGCTGCTGCTCTTGACAATATGATTGCTGCCTTTGTTCCTGTTTCTGCTGCTGTTACTGCTACTGCTGCTGCTGCTGCTGCTTCTGCTTCTTTTGCTGCGTGGCACAGCAGCAAGAACAGCAACAGCAACAGCAGCACATCTTTCTTGTGAGAGAACAAATGACCCTTACACGTTGCTGCTACCTCTGCTGCTGCTGCTGCTGCTGCTGCTGCTGCTGCTGGTAATATTTGTGCTGCAGCGTAGCCTAGCTCAGTCCCGATTATTACCAGGTGTACAGGGAGCTCTGTACGAAGCATGCGGGGAGCGGCTGCGTCAGCTGCTGCTGCTGCTGTTCAATGCAAACCCTATTAGTGTTATTAAACCCTCATTAGGGTTTAGTAAGGGAGGGAGCGAACCCTTACTTGCTGTTCCTGCTGCTGCAGTAAGAAGAGAGGCTGCTGCTGTGCATGCAGCAGCAGAAACTGCTGCAGCTAAACAAGCAGCAGCTGCTGCTGTTGCTGCTGCAGCTGCTGCAGCACCTAATGCTACAGAAGGAAGAGTTATGCAACTGCAGCACCAAGATATTCGTGCTGCTTCTCTTGTACCAAGAGCAGCAGCAAGAGCTCTGCTGCAGGAGATGCAGCAGCAAGCAGAAGAATTAGTAGAGATATGGCCCCTCAGGAGGTACGACGTATACGAGGGTTTACGAGGGTTTACGAGGGTTTACAAGGGTTTACGAGGGTTTACGAGGGTTTACGAGGGTTTACGAGGGTATACGAGGGTTTACGAGGGTTTGCCATCCCTGATAATTGATTCCTTATAAATTTCAAAAATATTTTTTTTAGGGTTTAGGGTTTAGGGTTTAGGGTTTAGGGTTTAGGGTTTAGGGTTTAGGGTTTAGGGTTTATATATATGTATATGTATGTATTTAGGAGTATAGTATTTTTATCACGTCCTGATGATAATATATCATTTAGTTATGATGTATATTTATTATATCGTGCTGCATCTGTACATTTAATTCCTTGTTTATTATTACAACAATTACCCTCTATAGATCTAATGGATACAGATGGTGTACGTACACCCCAATCTATACCAGGAGATATATTATGGCTACCTCTATGGGGTGCAGAAGTATTAGCTAAACATAAAGTTGCTAGAATATTATTACCTCCTTTCCTTCATGCTGGTCAGTAACTCATCCTGCTGCTCCTCCTGCTGTTGCTGCTGCTGGACGACGACGACGACGAGCTGCTGCTGCTGATGCTGCTGCTGCTGATGGGGGTGGGGGGGGAGGGAGGAGACACTTATGTATAAAAGGAGACACTTGTATATAATAAATAAATAAATAATAATAATAACACCAATTAACTAAATAAATAAATAACTAAATAAATAAATAAATAAATAATACTAATTAATTAATAAATAAATAAATAAATTAATTAATTAATT